CTTATTTAAAAGTAAATGCTACAAAAAGTGATTTTTACTCCATCTGTCCTTTCTCTCATTTTTATATACATACATACATACAAACATATATATATATATATATATATATATATATATATATATATATATATATATATATATGTGTGTGGGGGGTGTAAATAGTGACAAATGCAAACTTAGTCGACACGTTTTGTCCTCTCTAGGGGAAATCTAAGGATTTTATTTTGAAACGAGTATTACTTACTATGTTTATTATTAGCTTATGTCACTTAGCTTCTTCCATAATTTATATCGGCTATTCTGTTAGCCTATTTTGAAAAACTAACCACATTTTTACTTTTGTTTATAAATAATTGTTGAAAAACAAAATCCCTACACTTGCCGAACAGAGGACGAAACGCATTGAGTAAGATAAGTTTTTGGGCCTTTTGTCTTTATTCATATTGTCCTTTTACAGATATATTTTAGTTATATCTGAAATTTTGCACACACACACACACACACACACACACACACACACACACACACACACACACACACACACACACACACACACACACACTCGCGCGCACGCGCGTTGGTTGTTCATCGTAAACTGACCAGAATTTTGACATAAAAATGCTATTCTAATTAAAGTAATTCAGTAAGACGAAAGTGCTATCATCGCTAGTTCATCCACAGTAAATTTACATTCAGGTTCCCATCCTGAGTATGACGATAAACTACATCTGCATCCTGGGTAAGATGATAAGCTACGTCAAACAGCAAGGCCTCTGATCAGGAGGCTTTGAGGAGCGTGGAACCAGCTCTTAATTGCTGGTGTTCCCAGCTCCACCCTAATCCGTGATGGTAGCACCTGTGAGGGTCCCAACTGTGGGTAAAAAAATTAACCCCCGAACTCAGATCAAAACACTATGAAAGTGTAAAAATAGGTTTTAATCCCAGTGATACTTTGTAAAAAATATATTATATACCAGCAATACATTTTTGAAAAAAAAAAAGCCAGCAATACACTTTTGAAAAATTTACCTGCAATAAAAATATTGTCGGCATTAAATAACCCCATTGTGGTTGATATATCGTAAAAAAAATCAAATCAAACCAAACCAACTATGCATTTTTGAAAAAAAATTACCTTCTATGCATTTTTGAAAAAAAATATTACCAGCAATAGATTTTTTGAAGAAAAACTATTATCAGCAATAAAAATTCTCGACATTAAATAACCATTGAGGTAAAAATTGCCGTAAAACAAAACAAAACAAACAAACGTACAGGCTCTTACATTTGACCATTCTCGGCAAATTTTCTGTTATCACAATGTCGGATATTTCATAACAAAGATGATGGGAGGAAAAAAGAATCGATATGAATTTGGCTAGATTGCAAAATAAATAAATAAATAAATAAATAAAATAAAATAAAATAATAATAAATAAAAAATATATTTCTAAATTTTGAAATTCCCAGTGTCTCTCGTTCGTGCGCATGTGAAGTCATAACAACGTAAACGAACCCAGTCCGATTAAGTCCTAAGAGAAGAAACACACCACAAAAATTTTTCCGATTTGTCATACATCATTTCTTTCAGCACTGTCCTTGATATATAAAAATATATATATATCGTTACCCCACATCTATCTATCTATCTATCTATCTATCTATCTATCTATCTATCTATCTATACTATACATACACATATATATATATATATATATATATATATATATATATATATATATATATATATATATATATATATATATCGAACTGTTTTTTAAAATTGTTCCGTCGTTTTTTGAAATCATTTTTGATTTGCTTTGTAACGTGGAGGACTTCAAGCTTGTATGAAGATATAAGAACCTATTGATCTCTGCGTATTCCTATATCAACGGAAGGATTTCTTGAACTGTTTATATAAAATAGTTCAATCGACTTTTTTAATATTTTAATATTTGGAAATCATCTTGAATACGTTTTCACAACATCGCCCACGTGACGAATACGTGATCAGATTTAAACGGAACGCTGATCTTATATAAAAAATTTCTGTTATCTGTTTGGATTAGTTGTGCTCTTATGTCCATCGTCTTTTCGTGTTGAATTTTTATATGTTCTAATGTTAATTATGTTTAAATAAAAATGTCCATGAAGATGGTCTTAAATAGACCGAAACATCCGACGTCGACTTTATATTAGCATTAATACAGCATAATTGCATGTTAAGATTTTTGTTTGTTTTTTCTGTATTTTTCTTCATATGTATTATATGTACACTTCCTTATCAATATTACAGAACATGGTAACAGTATAACTATTTAATGAAATTGGTGTTCAGTATTCAGCATTAATTGGTATTATAAAAAATATAAATAAAATAAAATATAAATAAAACCCACTAAATGTTCGATTCTTTCGTAAATATAATATAGCATCCTCATTTGGGACTCCCTTTCAGTTTTATATATACATAAGCAAACCTGTCCATCAAGTGTTCGGTTATATCAGTGGTTCTCAACCGGGGTCTACATGGACCCTAGGGGTCTATGTAATATTTCCGGGGGTCCACAGGCAAATCTCAATTGTTGTGTTAATTAAAAATAGTAATAATAATTATTATTATAATTATAGTAGAATATTTTATTTGTATTAAATTAGTTTTCATTTAAAAATAAAGCTTAATCGTATACTATTTCTTTGATAATTAAAACCTTAAAATTTATATTAGTGAAGAATAGAAAATTGTTCTTATGTCCAATAGCTATGAAGGGGTCCACCAAGATAAAAAGAAGGGGAAAGGGGTCCATGGGTGAAAAAAGGTTGAGATCCACTGGGTTATATGAACCATAAAAATGCCCAAAATCTAAATTTCTCACATGTATTTTCATCATCTGTGTTTTATTTAACCGATATCCTTAATTTTTTCAAATATCTAAGCCATAATTATGAGCTATAATGTTTTAATGAGAAAATTTCGCTGAAATATGTTTGAAATTGCCAAGTTTACATTTGAAATCAAGAAAGTAAAAACTCCAAGTAAAATTATAGAAAAAAAGCAAAGGTTTAAGTTGAAAATGATGCCAACAGGACTACAAAGTTTATTTATGATTTCTTTCATGATTTTCTCTTGTTTTTGTACAAGATAACAGATATTTGATTTCATTATATGTAAATAAACACACGGTTACAAATTACATAATACGCAAGCGGATTTATATTTGTTGTAAGCGGTTTACGTATGATGTCATCAATATGCTCAAAATAAGAGGTACATTGATAACATTTTAAACAGCAAATTTCATGATAAAAAAATGGCTTTAAGTTTTCTTGAATTAAAAGCTCATAACATTTACACGTTGATTTTTTTTTGCTCGGATACATACATATATATGTATATATAAATTACCCCTAAACTGTTAAAACAAATCTTTCTTTGTTCTTCATAGAAACTTTTTAAATTGAAAAAAACTACTACAGCCAGTTTTTACAAACACACGTGTTTGTAGGATTTATAGATTTATAATAATAATAATAATAATAATAATAATAATCATCTTGTATCAAGTTGCAAGGTATTGGCACCCACTGAATATAAAACCCGGTATGACAGAGTTGGACAATATCTGCACTGGAAAATCTGCAACTTCCACGGAAAGGAAACTGAAAGAAATTGGTATGAACACCACCCAGACCCGGTTACGGAGATAGGACCTGTTACAATTTTACAACCCACACATTACGAAGGGATTTATCTATGTAAAATATTTTTTTTTTGTGTAAGTGGAAAATGTCATGATGCCTTGGATGTCTGCGCGGGACCAGAAATCAAAGAAATCATAATAATAATAATAGTAATATAAAGAGTGGCAATAAATTAAATTACCTTTTCAGATCCGACAACTAGAAAGCATTTTCCTTACAATTTTAACATTGATTCATTTTTAGACCATTCTATACCGTAATTCCCCATATATAAAACGCATTTTTTCTTTAAAAAAATAACAAGCAAAATTAGGGGTGCGTATTATGCACCGCTACAAAAAAATCCTCAAAATATTGCCGTTTCATAGGTCGATTTCAGTTGCGAAATGACTATTCACCACAATCATACGACAATTTGACACTAACATTCGGCAATTGCGACCCCATAAGGATGTCAAATACAAGCATATGTACCTAACAATACTTACAAATCTCAAATAAAATAAGAATTATCATAAAACCTAGATTAGAATATTATTATTTTATGTTTAAAACCATTTGTGTGAAAAACTACACACAGATATGGTAGACTGCACATTTTATCGAACAAAAACAGATTAATGAGCCTGCGCAGGAGGCACAATATAGGTATTTCCGTTTCCTTTTAGAATTGTGATGATCGGAAATTTTGATAACTTCAATTACAGCTTGAATAAGAGTAGGAAACGCTGACCGTAATGAAATTGGAGAGGTACAATTTATAGGGTTTGATGACCAAAGGGTGCGTGTTATGCGTGAGTAGAAGCATTTTCCCACACTTTCAGTACAATTTTAGGGGTGCGTATTATGGATGAAGGCGTATTATACATGGGGAATTACGGTAATTAAAACTTTGAAATTTTTCTCCGCGTTATTTCTGTGTATAAATACAGGCTACCAAATAAAACTGACGAACTTTCCTTAATAAAGTTAAATTTTATCCCGCCTCACATTTCTTTCTGTCTGTCGATTGTAGGTTGGTTGCTTTTGTTTAGCGGCAGATCAATTTTTATGCTTTAATTAATGCCGATATCCAAACATTTTGGACGCCATTTTCTTTTAATTTTTGAGATAATAATGGTTTTACTGATATAAGTCTTACTAATTAACCCATTGCTGGAGGGAGAAGGGGTGGATTTATGTATTTCCCAAAATTATTTGCGCGTAAGTGAATATAAAGAACCCAACGGGAATTAGAACTCGGTTCTTTGATTAAAAATTTCAAGTCACTTCCATTACCCTAGGCGCACATACAAGGTTACCACATCTGGTATACCCAAGCGGTCACCCATCTAGGTACTGACCAGTCTCGACGTTGCTTAACTTCGGTGGTCGCATAGGAACTGATGTTTCAACATGATATGTCCGTAAGATAGATAGATAGATAGATAGATAGATAGATAGATAGATCGATCGATCTATCTATCTATCTATCTATCTATCTATCTCTTTAAATATATATATATATGTGTGTGTGTGTGTGTGCGTATGTGTGTGTGTTTGTGTGTGTGTAAAGAGTGGCCAAAATCCGACATAGCGTTTATATAGGCAGGATCGACATAGGATTCAACACTGCATGGTTAATACCATTTTCACGTTACACAATGATCTTTACCCTGAACTGATGGCACTGAAACATCAAACTGACCATGATTTCGTAGTGTTGATTCCAATTTTCACACTATTTGTCTCTCTGTTTGACTGTCCGTATATATATATATGTGTCTGTATATGTATATCTATCTGTCTGTATATCTACGTGTCTGTATATGTATCTGTATATCTATCTGTCTGTATATCTATGTCTGTCTGTATAACTCTGTGTCTCTACATCTGTCTGTATATCTATCCATCTTGTCTGTATATCTATCCATCTGTCTGTCTGTCTGTATATCTATCTGTTTATCTGTATATCTGTCTGCATATCTATGTTTTGCATATCTGTGTCTGTCTGTCTGTCTATCTGGATATCTATGTGTCTATCTGTCTGTATCTACATATATGTCTATCTGTATATCTATCTGTCTGTCTGTATATATCTATATGTCTGTATATCTATCTGTATGTCTATCTAATCTATCTATCTATCTATCTATCTATCTATCTATCTATCTATCTATTCTCATTGATCCATACATGCGTATCCTTGTTTGAAAATAAGTTTATTAAAACATTGTTTTTTTTTATCAGACTTGCATTAATAATGGACTGATGTCTAACACACACACAAATTCAATCTCTCTCTCACTATATATATATATATATATATATATATATATATATATATATATATATATATATATATATACTCGCACATGTTTGAGGGTATAATTCAAATTCAGGTGTGAAAATGAACAATCAACGACATAGAAAAAAATGAAAAAAAAAATCCGAGACGAGATGTTCAACACACCTGTGCGGCATCGTCTGCCAACATTGCTGCTCTTTGAAAAGAACACCTATTCAATCTCCGGCTTGTATCAGGTTCCATCCATGTCTCATCCCTGTTAATAGACTTTCAACCCCATCTTCTCCCCAGGCGGGAACACCTTTCCCCTGCTCATCCATTCGTGTCTCTAGCCACTCTCTTCTGTAACAGGTGATAGCGTTTGTTAAATTATCTAGATAGATAACAAAGGTAAATACATATACAGCTTATAAAAGATAGGTATTTATTTTTAAATTATATATTAAGATATGGGCGTATGAGTAATTACGTTCGTTTATTTTTGTATCTTAGAATTAGAACGCTTGGAAAGTCAGTGTGTGTGAAAGATAGTATAGATAAAATGTTGATCTGTGAATGTGTTAATAGTCCTGAATATGTGAATAACATTTTGAAATACTAAAAATATAAATAAATAAAAATAAGAAAGAAAAAACTGATTGCGTAGAGAGATAAAATTATGTACACACATGGGTAGTTAGCTTGATAAACAGAGACTAACACTTACTTATTACATCGTAATTCTTTGTAATAAATATATAACCGTGTCTCCAAGTTTCTGTCTATATAACTAGTCTGCCCTACTATTTAACTTATAGCTTGGGCGGTGGGCAGAGGAAGTCATTCGTTTCCCAAGCCACTAACTGCTAAAGAACAAAACTTTGAATTTTAGCAGAGCTTGTTACATTCCCTATTTGAACTGACAAGTTTGTTCGTATAGAAACAAGGAAAAATGGATTTTAATTTTTTTAAAAAACAATTTTACGTTGATTAACATTCATTAGACGTTTCTAAAGGCCCAACATTTGTCAAATCAAATATTGATTTTTATCAATTTTGCTGTTCATAGTAAAAATATAAGGGCAAATCGATATTTGATTTCTGAAAGAGTTTGATTTATTTAAAAATATAAAGTTTAAAATTATGCACTTTGCTTTATTTAAAAATATAAAGTTTAAAATTATGCATTTTTTTACAGTGAGGTTCATCTTGTACAAGGCCCGGGAGCCACTCGAGGGTTACAGAATAAGAGGCACAGTTCATGCGGACAGATGGGGAAGATAACTGTTAACCCTAGACTTGAACAGATTAAGATTGTAGTGATAAAGGAAGCATCCTCTTGGGAGTCAGTTCCACAGAGCCGAAGAATACGTCGACCTCTTAAGATTACTTTTCTAAAGGCTAGTTTTTCTAATCTCATTTAACATTTACAAATAGACATATTGATAAGCCTACCAGCTTGAGATATTTTTTTTTTTACATATTTTACGAGTCCCGAGAGCCACTTGAGGTAGAGAGTTACGAGGCACAGATTATGCAGATAGTTGGGGTAGGTAAGGGTTAAATCTAGACTTGAACAGGTTAAAATTGTAGTGATCAGGGGGAAACATCCTCTCAGGAGTCGGTTACACAGAGCAGTGGTTGGCAGGATGATGTTGTTCGAGTCGAACTTACTTCTCGTCAATGGGACACAGAGGGAATGAGGGTGGTTTGTTACAATGTGAGTGGCATGGCAGGTTTTAGCCGTGAGGGATATAGCTGACGGAACCAAGGAATGCAGTTCGCTCGAGCACTTTCCATGGAAGTAAGCGATAGGTCAGTGAGAGGCTCGCCTCACCACGCTTTTAGACTCTATCGAGACTGTAAATATGAGAGCAGTACTCCGTTTTTTGCCTGATATGGCTCTTGTAAAGGTAGAGGATAGCAGATTTGGTTTGGTTTATTTTGTTTTACGGCATATCAATCTCAATGGGTTATTTAATGCCGACAATTTTTTTTATTGATGGTAATATTTTGTTTTGTCAAAAATCTGTTTCTGGTAATATATTTCCTTCAAAACTGTATTTCTGGTAATAGTTTTTTTTTCCAAAAAACTCTTGCTGGTAATAATTTTTTTCAAAAAAGTATTGCTGGCACAGCAATAACTATTAACTATTGTTAACTATTTGCTCATAGCTGAGACCCTAACAGGTGCAACCACCCCGGGTCAGGGTGGACCTGGGAACACCAGCAATTAAGAGGTGGTTCCACGCTCCTCAAAACCTCCTGATCAGAGGCCTTGCTGCTGGACGTAGTTTAATGTCTTACCCAGGACGCGGATGTAGTTTAACTTCTTACCCAGGACAAAGAGGATAGCAGGAGGAGTCAGGTACTTACTTGAGCGGTTCAGATAACCGACCATTTTTCCTGCATCTCTAGCGACGGATCATATTTACGAGTTCCGCTTTAAGTCTGGGGGTGAGTTTAAGGCCCACTAGTCGCTCAATGCATGGACCCTCCCCGGGGGGACAACCATTCATCGTGACTGGTGTTTGTTCGGGGCCCGATCGTCGACGATGAAATGTAACTAGTTTGGTTTGTATGTCATTGTTAATTGCGTACTATTAGGAACAGAAAAAAAGACAACATACGTAGTACACAGTTATCAATGACGTTAGCACAATTTCAAACTTATAATTTAGTGACTTTATTCAGATTAAATATAAACTAATTTTTTATTTCACTCTTTGATTGGATGAAGTCCACCCCCCACCCCGCAGATATGGATGCCCGAAGCCTCTCACTCTCTGCTCCATCTTCTGCACGCTAATGCTTGTTCTTGCTTTGTTATTGTTATTTAAGGATGATATCTCGTCTTGTTTTTATTTGATACCGATCAGTTATTGCTCAACTAGTTTCCACTGTGTTTATCCGTACTCTCTGGTCCAGGAATCGAACTCAAGAAACTCAGACAGAAATTATGAAGGGTTTATTTTGGTTTAATTAAATCTGCCGGAAAGGCTGAGGGTTCCACTCTAATACTCTAAATGACAAATAGAATATAAAGGCTTATGTCATTTAATTCTGATGACTTTCGAAATTCCGAGTCGTTTTCGTCTTAAAACTTCTTATAGAATAAACAACATAAGTATATAACGCTATATATCTCCAACGAAAATCTTAAACTTCATTTTAAAAAGTCAGTTCTTACGATTTTTCTTACTTTCACGACAAATATGAGCCTAAATTTCCTTCGTCAATTTGGGTGGATGCGGTGATATTTGTGTTAACGGCTTACCGACACAAATATGATATTTAAAAAAATAAAATTTTCACTATGAAAAGTTTAAAAGCAAACTATTATTTTCTAAATAATCTTACACACAGTTGTATGATTGAATTTTGCTTAGTGTCATATCAACCTCTATGAGTTATTTAATACCGAAATCTAAACATTTTAAACGCAATTTTATGGTTACAAATACAGATAAAATGTATTGTTGGTCATTTTTTTATAAAATGTATTTTTTGTAATTCTAATTTAAAAAATTATTGTTCGTAATATTACTATAAAAATGTATTTATATATTTTCATAGTGTTTTGTTTTTGTTTGGGGATTCACTATTTGCTCATAGTTAGGACCCTGGTCAGGCTGGATCTGGGAACAACATAAATTAAGAGGTTGTTTCACGCTCCTCAAAACCACCAATATTCTGATCAAAATCCTTGCTGCCGGATGTAGTTTATCGTCATACCCAGCAATACACACTGGGTATTAGCACAATTAAAAAAAAGTTTTATATGAAAGACAAGTGGGACAATATTTTAGTGGTTTGCATATAGACCTGAGAATTCAATGCGTTATCTACTATATTACTTTCATCTAAAAACATCAATCCGTATTTAAATAATTTACTCCAAGGTCATGTTTTGAAATTGTCTAGTATTCCTCATCTTCATCTTCTGTAAAATGAAACATTTCAAAATAATTATCAGCCTCAATTTAAAAATTTAAATGGGCACGTAACTGTGTGGTTAGAACGTTTGCTTTATCACCGGTGTTCGAATGTCACCATGGCCGATTTGTCAATAGTGGAATGTTCTTGAGGAGGCGATCCCAGTGTGCGGTCGATGGTTGTGCTAGCACGAAGTCGCAAGTCATC